TTTGAAGAACTGATAAAAGATCACCGGATACGCATGCCTGACGAGCGACAAGTGCCGCGAAACCGGTCGTGTGCTTCAAGAGATATTTTAACCGGCCAGTCATATACTACTTATTACGAAACAAACATACATCCCACGAGGAACACCAAAAATAGTGGACATCACTGACAAATCCTAACAATGATGAAACAGCTGTCTACGACTGAATTATTTGGGTAACTCGTAAAAAAGCGTGGCGAATGCGATAATCGCTTTGAGAGGTTTAGTATGCTTAAGCTGAATTGTGAATAATAGCCACATCATTAAAATGAACTTCGCCAATTGCCACTAATCTCGTGATAAAGAACATAGGCCTGGATGTGTCGGGGCAGCCACGAGTCCCCAGGGTTGTTCACGAAACACAAAGCACAATGCTATGAACGAAATATTCGAAATTAGAACACGCAGTTCGCTTTGGTTTTGTCCTCCCAAACACTTCACATACGAATATTTTCAGAAATAGAAATCCATATATACTTTACAGACTGTCAGGTCTCTACTTGAGGAGTAGACGGAATGTCGCCTGAGTCTTCCCGGATGGCTAAGCCATTGAAACCATGACCTATTGAATAAAATAATCACAACATATCTTGGAATAACCCGACGAGTGCGTAACATCTCAAAATCAGTGTATTATTCTTTTCTGCCAGTATGTATGGGTTGCATTCATAAATCAACCACTTGCTAAAACTTCAGCAGAAACCACTGAACTAGACGAAAGTCTTACCTATCCGGACGGTGTAATGAGTTGCACCAAAAATCAATTCCGGGGCGCGATAATAGCGGGAACAAATGTAGGACACGTTTGGTTCCGACGGTGATAGAATCTTCGCGCTGCAATAAGAGGCGATAATAAGCAGATCAGTGGTCCAGTAGATTGGTTCAATAACGGAAAACAGACGGCGGAACTTGGTCAATCCAACAGAAACGATTCCTGATCAACGGTGTCGGATATCACGGGAGGAGTAAGGGGTACTAAATAAATGATGATAGCCGGTTTTTATGTTTCACCAAACGAACAAGTTAATAAGCCATAGGTTCTAACACAGGTGGAGCAAATAAATGGCGCTATTTGAAGTGTTACTGAAGTTGTACGACAATGTGTAACTTATGGAAGGCCAGTTTTCTCGAACGTGTGGCGTTAACCCCTATGGGACTGGACTACGAAGAAACACAAATTTTGGCCAACAGTTCGGGACAATTATTCTTGACAGGCATTCTTCATAACCATTGTTCTGAAAGCCTCAGGTGAAAATGATCGGAAATCCACAAAATTAAAACGCAACCTATGAAGTTTGCTGAAGAATGGAGTTGATACTCTTCAACAGAAACAATTTTATGATGACCCTTTCCTCGTCAAAATAGCCACATCACTTGACTTTCAAGAGTGTAGATGTGTTTGACGATTACCGTACAATTGTGGTTGAAGAAGCCAATCGATACGCCAACCCAAAATCTCCTGGTCGCGGTTCGAATTGGCGAACAGTGTCGTGATGACCCAACACTCAAACAGGTGGTCGTTATTGTTGGCTTTAGGCTAGATT